AGCCTGATGAGTCAGTGGTATGGAAAATGCAGATGGGGAACATCCTGTGTCAAAAGGTACTCATGGCAGATTCTCTTCTGTCATTGAGTGAAAGGTGAAGAAAAATAACCATTCTATACCTCAGCTTACTAACTGTCCACACGGGTATCACAAGATCACATGATTAGAGCAACTTGTTCAGCGCCTTGGGACGTCCTCCCGACGTGAAAGGCGCTCTATAAATGGAATCTTGTTGTTGTTGTTGTTTGATCGCGATGATCTGGCTTGTTCACCAAAGATAACAAGGAAAACAATAGTGAACACAGGTTTACAGACAACATTTCCCAGGCGAGGTACTGAAATAAACTAGTTGTGATCTACTTTTCACAATATACGATATTAGCTACCTGTTTATTTTCACAGCAAATCAGTAGATCTTATACTGCAGTAAATGGGACAGTGACACACTTCGAAACACACTGAGAGCACAGTCTGAATCACCTTAAATAGGCATTTCTCATTCAAGCAGCACAACAGAGCTTGCTGTACTCAGCAAGCAATTCAGCTCAAACCTCATTTCATAGCAACTCTTGCGTGCACTTTCAGGAAAACATAGTTGGCCTGGATGCAAATAAACTGGTGCAGCTGCTGTGCGCTCAGTTCAATTGGGCCCTTGTGCTTTGTACCCTCCCTTTGTAAAACAAGAGTACTGATGTCCTGTAATTAACTTCAGGATTGAGCTCGTTGTTCATGTGTAAGTGGCAATGGCTTTCTCGGTTTGGAAAACAAGTACATTTAAAGGGGCAGGGGCACTGTATCAGAGGGTTGCAGCACAGATTCAGTCCCTGGAGCAACTTGCTCCGAGTAGTAAACTTCAGAGCAGTCATGTCGGTTACAGTACCAAGTACAGCAAATATTGTAACTGCTGTAGTGAAGCGTGCTTCAGGTTTCCTTTTGGGATGGGATATTTCCCATTTTAAACCACCAGATTTAGTAACTTTACTGACTGGTGGGCAAGAATTCTGTCCAGCATTATGCACGCTGCATTTGGCAATGTGACACTATTATGGGAATTCCCATTCATGTCCAACATCACCAAATGCAATGTGCACAGTATTCCAAGGTCTTGACATGCAGAGAACACCTACAACAAGAACAACAACAACAAAATTATATTTGTATAGCACCTTTCACATTGGGTGGACGTTCCAAGGTGCCAGTCAGTGTTTCGGACCCGAATTTGGGGTCGGGATTGGGGAGGGCGGGGTGGGGGAAGGAGGGTGATCGAAAGCACGGTTGAAGAGGAAGGTCTTGAGATGGGTCTTGAAGGAGGCAAGGAAGGGGGCGATGCGGAGGGACTGCAGGATAGAATTCCAGAGGGTGGGGGTAGAGTCGCAGAAGGCCCGCCCGCCAATGGGGGGCAGTTGAGGCGGTGGGCATGAAGCAGGCTGGAGCCTGCTGAGTGGAGGAAGTGGGCAGGATGGTAGGCAGTTAGGAGGTTGCAGAGGTAGTGGGGAGTAAGGCCATGGAGGGCTTTGAAGGTGAATACTAGGATCTTGAACTGTATCCTCTGTGAGATGGGAGTCGGGTGAGGATGGGGTGATTGGGTCACGGAGTCCGGTACTGGAGAGGACACAGGCTGCAGAGTTCTGGATTATCTGCAGCCTATGGAGGGAGGTGTTGGGGAGGTGGACAAGCAAGGAGTTTGCATAGTCAAGCCTGGATGTTATGAATGCGTGTATGAGGGTTTTGGCGGCCTGCGGTGTGAGACAGTAGCAGAGCTGGGCAATGTTGTGGAGGTGGGGAAGGCAGGTTATGATATGGATGTGGGGTAGAAAGGATAGTTGAGGGTCAAACAAGATACCAAGGTTCTGGATTGGCTTAGTAAGGTAGAATGTGCATCAATGGATGGTGATGCTGTCAGCGCAGGATGTGTGGAGCCACTGACAGCAGTCAATCAGGAGAGCCTCAGTCTTATTGACATTCAACTGAAGAAAGTTAGCTCTCATCCAGGACTTGATGTCTGACAAACATTCTGTCAGTACAGTGGTGGTCCTGGAGTCAAGGGTAGAGGCAGAGAGGTACCTAGCTAGACAAGTAATGTACACCACCTGATTACCAAAACTTATGTCAGCATTTTGGAGGCATTTGTTGCAGTGCAAATCTACATTTCCATCTCCAGGAAAACAATGGTTTCTTTGTTGTTGAAAGTATGGAAATGCCATCAGTAGAAATCAACTGGTTAGTACAGCACTCTTTTGGATGCAGCATTGGATTCATATCTCAGAATTTGTTAAGATTGATTCTGGTGTCAGAGAGAAATTGCAGAGACTTTTCTCTTCTTGGAAGCTTCACCTGGACTATTTAACTGTCTCAGGTCAAGAACCTTCAAACGGGAGGAGAGCCCATGACATGGTCTATGTAGGGAATTAATCCGATGAGTTTAAAGGCTGAATTATCACCAGTGCTTCACATATCGCATATAAGCAATTTAAAATTCTCAGGCCCCAAATTTCTCATGTTTTTCAGCTTTAAATCATAGTATTAAAATTTAAGATCACACAGACTTTTGGTTTTGATTTAGAAGTTGATTTTCCAAAGTCCTCGAAATGAATTGCAGAACACCACTTCCCAAGTTAAGACTAAAATTCCAAAATCTGGCAGGACTTGAAACGTTAAGATTATAATCCAAGAACACAAGAATATTTTAGGTTCTGAAAGTTTGAGAAGTCAGTGGTGGATAGGAAAATTTATTATTGCCAACAGGTACATATTACAACAACTTACTGAAGCAAAGAGCAGTTGCTGAGGATACACGTTCAAAGCACAATTTTTGTGGGTCTTCCTGGATTCTTTGTTTTGCTGAATTCTTCAATTCACAAGTGCTACAAAGGCACAGCTGCACCAGCACTAGACTAATGCATCAAATCGGCAACATAAATAAACATTTGCCAACCCTTGTATCTTTCTTTTAAAGAAACTACAACATTTCACAATGCAACAAAGTCTTTGAAAATAATGGATTGTGTTGCAATTCCTAATCACTCAGCCAGCTCTCAGCTTAGCTCAATTGGGAGCACTCACGTCTGAGTGTCTAAAGTTGTGGATTCAAGCCCCACTTTGGGACATTGGTCTTATCATTCCACCTGGACACTCTGTTGTACACTCTGTTGTATTGTTATTGGCTCCCACCTTCGGAAGAGATCTTAAACCAGGATCCCATCTCCCTGTTCAGGTACGTAATGATTCACAACACTAGTGTATTAAGTAACTTTTGTCTAATACCCCAACCATAAACTCACACCAGTTATTCTCCCCAAATTCCTTTTTTATACTTCCTGGTCTTCTTTCATTGGTTCCCAATTAATTGTCTATTTACTCTTAAAAAGGGTTATGCAACAAGGTGGATGACAAAGATCCCTATTCAAAAAGAGAAGGTAGTTTCTCCTGGTTTCTCGGCCAAGAATCCTCAAGATAAAATTGGTCATTCATAGCAGTTTGTGAGACATTGCTGTGTGTAAATTGTTCACTGCATTTGTCCACAAACTACAACAATGATAAATTTACATTATATAGTACCTTTCACATCAGGAAGATGTCCCAAGGTGCTGGGACATGAATACAGTCACTACACGTTACAGCAAAATCCTGTGAAGTGCTTTGAAACTTCTTGATGACTGATAAGGCACTGTATCAAATTAAATTATTATTATATTGTAACAAAGTCTGAACAGGAAGCCAGCTAAGTTGGATTGTAACTGGAGAGAGAGGATGGGTCTTGTTCTGGATAAAGGGAGTGCTCTAACCTTACTAGGCTTTCTTTGCCCTAGACTGCAGCACGGGAGGTGCTGCTACTGGTGGAGGAGAGAACTTAGAAAGTCTATGGCCTAACACAGGGTCCAGAGAGAACTGGCCTGTTGGAATTCAGAATGACTTCTGTGGGCCTGAGCTGGAAGCACAGAGGGCTAGAGGGTTAAACGGTTTTGACATCCCAGAGGCGCTGGGCTATGAGAACTATAACTTCTGAATAATATCTGTCGCTCTGTCTGTCTGGGTTCACGTTACAATATTTTTGTTCCTATTTCTGTTTAAAAAATGCCGGTGATCAAATATTACAGTGTTATGATGCTATTAAAATGGAATTTCAGTGTTACTTTATGGTGGTCTTGTAACTGAAGCATTTGTGGAGTCCTGTAGCTCAGTGGTTAGAGCACTCATTTTGCAAGCGAGAGACCTGAGTTCAATTCCAGGCAGAGGGCGAAACCTTGGGCAAGTTTCCTTACTCCACACAGAGCCTAATAATAATCCCTCCAAAACTAAACAATAATAAATTGGTCATTTTCAATCTACGACTGTTTGTGGGACATTGCTGTGCGCAATTGGCTGCCGCGTTCGCCCACAAATATACAGTCAATTCACTTTACAGTCTATTCTGTGAAGCGCTTTGGGACGTCCTCCCGACGTGAAAAGCGCTATATCAAATGCAAGGATTATATTATATATTATATTATTAAGTAGTTCATGATGTTTTCATTATACTGAAATTTAGAAGATAGGGCGATGCCAAGTGTAACTGGATCAGAAAAATATTTGCATATCAAGTATGAAATTGGATACACAGAAACAAGAACCTTTTTGTTTCGTGGTTAACGATGATCAAGAGAAGTGGACCGTAACAATACGTCTTTCTAAAAAAAAGTGTTGAATAAGTATTTTAAATTAACTGCGCTAAAGCGCAATATTAGTCTTAAATATTACAGCGGCATTTCATTTAAGGACTTAACAGGGTCACCATACTTTTTATGTCAAATACTGTATAAAGCATAGCCTACAACAACTTATATTTATGTAGCGCTTTCATGTGGTGTAATGTCTTGGAGCACTTACAAGGGGAGTTCAGGCTCAGGGTCTAAGACCTGATCAGTGATTTCAGGTCACAACTGCATAGACCTTGCTTTAAGCACCACCCTCAAGTGCAATAACTAAACTCACAAGCATTTTGATAGCAATATTTTAATAATACTTGGAAAAAATTAACAAGTTGAAAGCACTTGACTATTTGAATCATTAACGATGGCTTACAATTGCTTTGGCTTACATAACAATGGCTTACAATTATAATTGCACAAAGCCACGAGTGACTACACTGAAGTAAAATATAAGTGTCACTGACCAACACACAGTCCTCTTATATAGGAATTGGTAACTCAAACACATCATGCAAGAATAACACAGTAGCTCTTTGTAAAATACACAAGTATAGTTAACACAAGCACATAAAAAGCAAAAGTTGAGTAACCTTGTAATTTTACAAATTGTTTGTTTAATTTTCCCTTTTTTTTTCACATTATCTTCATTCAGAAGGAAGGAAGATGTAACAGTACAGGCGGCTGATGTGAAAATCTCAAGCAGAACGTCAACAGAAAGAAAATAACATCTCTCTTGGCCCCTCGTGAGTGCATGCTGGTGAGCTCAGGTAATGATTGTAGGACCTCTGCGTGCTGTCCGATCATGAACCTGTGAAATCTTAAGTGCGATGGCTATCAGTGGGCCCAGCACCACCTGTGGAAGAAGGACAAAGTGGTTACCTCAGATTACAAGGCTCCATGAAAAACATCTCTTGAAATCTAATAATAATAATCCTTGCATTTGATATAGCACTTTTCACGTCGGGAGGACGTCCCAAAGCACTTCACCGAACACACTGTAAAGTGAATTGACTGTATATTTGTGGGCGAACGCGGCAGCCAATTGCGCACAGCAATGTCCCACAAACAGTCGTAGATTGAAAATGACCAATTTAATTATTGTTTTTGGTTTTTTGGAGGGATTATTATTAGGCGTGTGGAGTAAGGAAACTTGCCCAAGGTTTCGCCCTCTGCCTGGAATTGAACTCAGGTCTCTCACTTGCAAAGCGAGTGCTCTAACCACTGAGCTACAGGACTCCACAGCTACAGGACTCCACATATGTCAGCAAAGTGGAGGTGGTCAGTGCTGAGAGTGGAGCTGAAGCGAATTGTGTATGCAAATTTTCCAGTGCAGAGCTATGAGCAACAAACAGTAACTGAGCACTCCTCAGCTCATACACCGCATGTTAAAGTGTCTACTTTCTGATGTAAAAGAGAAAAAAAAATCGCCAAAAACCATCAAACACTTCAGAAGTCCTTTGGTTTTCCTTGCGTCGTGGTGATTTTTGGTTACCTGGGCTGCCATTGATCTCTGCTATAAAGACCATTTAAAAAGCCACTCCTGCTATCAAAATACTTTGCATCAATTCGCTTATAATGCTCTCCTGTGACCTGCAGTTATGGGAAGTGATGTTGGTAGGGACCTGATGACCCGGAAGCAGTACTGGAGGTCACTTGTTTTACAGCCATGTGAATGATCAATTTTATCTGGGGATTTGTTGGTCAAGGCGCTAAGAGAAACTCACATTTAGAATAGAGCCACGGGATCTTAACGTACACCTGAACAGGTGGACAGGACTTTAGTTAAATATCTCATCTGACAATGCAACACCCTCCCAGCACTGCATTGTATGTCAGATATACACTTGGAACTTAAAGTCCTGCTGTGAGACATAGAGCTTGAATCTTCTGATTCAGAGACGAGAGAGCTACGAATAACAGCTTAATAAGCTGATGGAGGGGAAGGGTAGGGTGGGTATTCTGGAAGGATGACATCAGATTGGCCAAAGGATCTCCTTTATCCAAACCAATCTTGTGTTATCTTATGAATACTGTATAACAAGGGCAGCTGTTCAAATGCTACCCTGCCCTAACAATGTGTAAACCTGGATCCAGTGGATACTGTGCTTTGCCAAAGCCAGATGGCACTGGACTAGCTCCCAGGATGAGCTAAATCACACATCTTTATTTAACTAAAAGGAGCCACTCTGCCTCGGGTCCGGTTTGGCCCTGTACATATATCATCAGAGGTGCCTAGTGGCTGGGGAGGCAGGGTCTATAGATGTGCTCAGATCAAGAATTCCTCATTGGGAAAAATGCAGTTACATAAATGTACCTTTATCTAGGTACATAGATAGAGATGATACTTGGAGCATCAAGTTTATCATAACTCCCTCTCAAAACGATAATGAGAGATGCTCTGATGGTGAAGTCCATTTGATCCATCAATCTTTCGCCTTCAAATAGTTTGAAACATACACGTACAAATACTAAACAATTATTTTTCTAAAGGCATGCTACAGAAGTGCCAATCCGAAAATAGCAGGTCTCACAAGCTCATCCTGTGTTGCTAAGGGCAAAACACACCAAAAACGGCTGTTATAGACTCTGCCTGGTTAGGAATATGACAGGTGATGTGCTTTTACTGCTACTCATGCAAGAAAATTAATGGGACGTCTCCTTGGTGTGTTTAAAAAATTCATTTGGAAATGTGCAGTTTATTATATATTTTACCGTTTGAAACATGAATCAAGAGTGCCTCCTTGTGGCACAATAGCTGTAACTGCAAGCCCAACTAAGCTGCTTTGTTAGGCTGTACAGTCTGTGTTAATCATACAAGTGCCCAGTATTCACTATGTGACCATGAACCCATGATTAGCCAATATTAATCTCACCCCTCGGGTTTGAACAGAGTGCATGACTTGAAATACAGTATAATAATGTACAGGTCAGGCAAGAAGGTGGTAGCGACAGTAAGCTATGAAGCGACCCACGATGAACTGGGGCATTTTATATCAACTCACACTGGCCACATTATGAGTGGCATGTTGTGTGTTGCTACATGTCTAGCCTTTGTGGTCACTGGCTAGAGCTGAGGCAGAGGTGAACAACATTTGCCAATTATTTAAAAATAATAATAATAATAATAATCCTTGCATTTGATATAGCGCTTTTCACGTTGGGAGGACGTCCCAAAGCGCTTCACAGAACACACTGTAAAGTGAATTGACTATATTTGTGGGCGAATGCAGCAGCCAATTGCGCACAGCAATGTCCCACAAACAGTCGTAGATTCAAAATGACCAATTTAATTATTATTTTTGTTTTTTTTGGAGGGATTATTATTAGGCGTGTGGAGTAAGGAAACTTGCCCAAGGTTTCGCCCTGCCTGGAATTGAACTCAGGTCTTTCGCTTGCAAAAATGCCTTTCAAATGAACACCATTCTACCCCAGTTCTCTGAAATTACATCCCAAACTTCCTCCGCTCCAGTCCCTCCCCCCTTTCTGAAATCCCACCTTAAGATCTATCTTATCCACCACCTTTTCAGCCACCTTTTCCCCCCACCCACCCCCGAGGGTCCCGGGGAGCTAAGTGAAACACTTTGAGACATCCTCCTGATGTGAAAGACTGTATAAATTTTTGATGTTGTGTGCCTTTTTACTGTGAATACATGTGACATATAATTTAGTGCTTCAGTTCGAGTCGAGCAGCGCATGAGGATTTACTTAATTCCCTGAACATTTTAGATAAAGAGTAAAGCAATTTTTGCAAAAAGAAAAATGATACTTTAACTGTAATAAAGCTTTGCAGGCATTTTTAAATAAACAGATGGATATCTTTCATTTATTTCTGCTACACATTTTTTTCTCTGATTCCTCACAAACACCATTAACTGCAAGAAGAGATGGCAAGGGCAGCATCTGATCTCAGTTATTGGAAGATGTAAAACAATACAATTGTTGGTGTGAGATGTACTTTTCGAAATGTTTTGAAAGTGGAAAGTGAAGGGCAACATGGAGAGATTTAGGAGGGAGTTCCAGAGAGCCAAACCATGGTGGCTGAAGGCTCGTTCACTGATCTTGAGTCAATGATGAGAAGGAGGACTGAGTTGGCAGCATGGAGGGAATGTAGCGGGGAGTTAAGACAGCAGGAGATCAAATAGTGGACAAGGCCATGAAGTAATTTTAAAGTCAGGATGAGAATTTTAAGTCAATCATTTGGGTAACAGAGAGCCAGCGGAGTCCAGCAAGGATGGTAGCAATGAGTTTGGGGAACTTGATTATGGGAAATGAAGGGAGTTGCAAAGTTTTGGGTGAATGGCACTTGTGGTGGACAAGAGATAAAGGAAGAAATTGAATTTAGATAATGCAAAGCTTCCTTGCTGATTTTGCCTCCCTCTAGTGGGAAAAAAAAGTTACTTTACTTATTGGAGTGAAAAATTGTGGCCCTGTCCAACTGTTCAGATGAATGTTTAAAGATCCCATGATTCTCAAACTCCCAATTACTTTAAATGCAATTTATTTCTGCTCTTGTATAGTGTAATATTTATAATCCTCGCTTGTGATAATGCTTATCATGTCAAAAAGTCTGAAAACACTACACAGGTATTTACCATTGAATTTTGTAACTGTTTCTGCTGTTGAATGTTAATTTTGCCCACAGGAAAATCCAACTTGAAGTGAATGACCAATTCACAGTTTAGCTGGCAGATTCCTAAATGATTCCAGTGTATAAAACAAGGAAATGGAAAAAGAGTCACATATTTTTCAAAACGAGATGCGAGTTTAGTATCACGTAGTGCAGTCTCTATTAAGTACAGTAGACCTCTGTTAGAACCTGGCAGGGGGAAGGGGAGGGTCCAAAATATCCCCAAATATCACTTGACGAGGCACACTGCTTACGTGTGCAGAAAGCTGTCCGGCTTCCAAACTTAAAAAAAATGATCAACTCACGGGTTATCAGGTTGCCATTGAGGTCACTTCCTGCGTATTGCTGTGCTGCACACAGGAAGTGACCTCGGCAACAAACTGGTGACCTGAAGCCGGTCAATTTGTAGCCATCGGAGGCTCCACAGGGCATCTGCCTATTCAGTGAAACCACGCTATGACGAAGTGTGTATTATAGTGGGGTCTCACTAAAGCTCCTCCCTATAGTAAATGTACCTAACATGCAAAACCTATTGCTTTCAGGACCAACACATCAGTGTGATCTTTATTACCCTTTCACTGTAGTTACGCTTCATGGACCAAGATCACAAAACAAGGCAAACTTTTATTAGGCCAAAGCAAAAATATTTGCCCCACCACCACCATCATCATCACCCTCACACTCACCCATACAGACACACAAACATACACATGAGTACGCACTATCACAAGCGCATACACTTTCAAGTATCTTTGAATTACCTCATCCAAATGACCATTCCTCATTCAAGAGTCAGTGGCTCATTCATCAATGTAGGGGTGGAATATGACACAAGTGCCCTATCCTGTCCTCACCCATTGACCAAACATGCACTTTCCACCAGACGTCATGGCAATTTCCTCGTGTGCACCAAAAAAAATCCCTACATTTGATTCCTTTTAGTATTTCCATTGCTCGGTATGCATGAAATAGTAAATCGAAGAGGAAGAGAGAAACGTACTTGAGGGGAAGGAGAACACCGAGGTGCATGTGGCCAAGCCCAAAGCGTCACATTTCAAAACGAGATTCCGACTCATCAAATGGAAGGAACTTTAAAAATGTTTCTCCAGCACTGTGCCAGGGTCTGAGCAGACTACACTGGAGCCATCTATTTTGGGATGATTAAACAGCTATCTATTCAGAACATGTGCTAAGGCTGCCCAAACAATTGCTTTTAAAGGTGCAATTCATTCACAATAAAACGTTTGACCACCTTTTTTTACAAAGCATGCCTAAAAATGGGCAACAAGATACAACAACAACAAATGAAATTTGTATATAACAGCTTTCACGTGAAGAGGACATCCCAAGGCGCTGGCCAGTCAAGGAGTTGCATGGATGCAAAAAATTGCCCTTTGAAATGTTCCAGCCCACCGCATGTGTCTTGACTTTATCATGGCAAAAGTTACAGGAAATTGTGATGCGTGATGTGTTCATCATCACCAGTGGGGATGTTCACTTTGTGGAGAAATACAGCTGAGACAGCCAATGAAGACATCCTCACCCACTCCTCCCAACTTGTCTGCAATGGTTCAATTCCAGGCAGGGCGAAACCTTGGGCAAGTTTCCTTACTCCACACGCCTAATAATAATCCCTCCAAAAAACCAAAAACAATAATAAAATTGGTCATTTTCAATCTACGACTGTTTGTGGGACATTGCTGTGCACAATTGGCTGCCGCGTTCGCCCACAAAAAATATACAGTCAATTCACTTTACACTGTGTTCTGTGAAGCGCTGTGGGATGTCTTCCAGACGTGAAAAGTGCTATATCAAATGCAAGGATTATTATTATTATTATTATTATTGTTATAATACACCCTAAAATATTGGTCCGGGTTTACTTTTTCAAACTCATTTAAAATTTTATGCACCTCTAGGAGATTCCCTGAGTCGTCTTCTCTCAAAACTGAAGAGCCCTAGCCTGTATAGTTGTTGCTCATAGCTCGTTCCTCTAACATCCGCTTTGCTCTCCTCTGCACTGCCTCTAGGGCTCGGATAACTCTTTTATGTCACAGTGACCAGAGCTGTACACAGTATTCAAGGTGCGGTCTGACCAGAGCATTGTATAGACTAAGTGTGACATCTGGAGATCTAAACTCACCTGATTTAGCAACATAGCCCTGTTTGCCTTGTTTCGACATAGTGAGCGACAAGTCAACTAACACCCTGTTTGTAAAGTTCAATCTCATTCATGCAGTACTTGTGTTTCCTATTCTTGGATCCTATCTGCAGTAGCTTGCACTTATCAGTATTATACTTCATTTGTCAGCAATCAGCCCATGTGCATACCCTACAAAGCTCTCTAATTCCACCGGTCCCCCCCAACTTGGTATCATCTGCAAATTTAGCTGTTTTACACTGGGTCTGTGAATCCAGGTCATTGATATATAATAATAATAATCCTTGCATTTGATATAGTGCCTTATCAAGCCTTCGAGACGTCCCAAAGCACTTCACAGAATATACTGTAAAGTGAATTGACTGTATACTTTGTGGGTGAAACACGGCAGCCAATTGCACACAGCAGTGTCCCACAAACAGTCGTGGATTGAAGCGACCAATTTTTTTTTGAAGGAATTATTATGCCTGGAAAAGCAACCCGACAATCGACTAACAACCGGGTTCCTACTTACTGCTAAGTAAACAGAGGCGTGCGGAGTAAGGAAACTTGCCCAACATTTCACCCTATTGGGAATTGAACCCAGGTTTCTTGCTTGCGAGATGAGCGCTCTAACCACTGAGCTACAGGACTCCACTATAAAGGAACAACATGAGGGATCCTAGTACCATAACCCTGCTCTATGGAAGTAGAAGCTGAGATCAGTATGCGAACAGAGGATCAAGAAGTCAGATTGAAACAGACCAGGCATCTCCAGGATTCACATGTTACAAATCCTTTTACCAATCACATAAGTTATAGCCCACTGGTGAATGTCTCACCGGGAGATGTCATTCCTATGTTTTCCTATCGTGTTCTGAGACACTGTGCTTTTCAGTTGTTTTTTGTTACCTGAGGCTCTCTGTCGATTTTGGTGGGGTCCCGTTCATAGCATTCTGCATAGATCCTGATGGTGGATCCCGTGCTCCTGGTTCCACTCTGCCGAAAGATGAGTCTGGAGCCATCTGTGAGGATCATCCGCAGCCCCTGCAGAAAGAGAATAAGCAACAATTCTGTCACAAGTCACCACAACTTGAAAAAGAAATAATGATAAAAATAATAATCCTTGGATTTGATATAGGACCTTATAGCAATTTGCCACAAAATACACAGTCAATTGAATTTACAATATATTCTGTGAAAAGCTTTGAGACGTGATAAAGTGCTATATCAATGCAAGGATTATTATTATCACGTCATTGAAACATCTCAAAATACTTTACAGGATACACAATAAAGTGCAGTGACTGTATATTTTGTAGGCAAAAGTGGCAACTTATTTGTGCACAGCAATATCCCGCAAACGTTCATGAAGTTAATGACCATTTTATTTTCTGGGAATTGTTGGCCAGGTCATAGGGAAACACTCCCTTCTCCTTTTACGTAATGCTGCAGAATATTTAACGTCCACCTGAACAGGTAGATGGGTCCTCAGTTTATCATCTCATCCAAAGTATGGCAATTCTACAAAGCAGCACTACCCCTGCAGTGCACAGGAGTGTCAGTCAAGACTGAAAGCTCAAAGTCTTGATATGGGGACATTTCGCCATGTAAAGGGAATAATAAAAGGGCAAAGGAAGTGGTGGTAAATGAGTAGCTTTTTCAGAGACTACAAGCATGGGCACACAATGGGCCAAGTTACCTCTTCTTGTGCTGCAAAATTCTACGGGTTATATTAAAGTGTTTTACTGGGATGGATAGTGCTGACCTGTGGCAAGGCCATATTTGACACTTGAACAGGAGGTGACAGCAGATGTCCCAGCACATGACTGGAATTCCTGCAGTGTTCCGACACAGCTGAGAGTACATCAGACCCAGGACCCATGAGGAATCTTGCCTGATTCCCTTTACAAACAAAAGAACACCAAACACAGCAGTGGAAAGAGCTAGAGAAACTGTAGAAATTTACAGCACAGAAGAAGGCCATTTGGCCCATCACATCTGTGTCGGCTCTTTCAGTCCCATATTGGTGCTGTTGCAAACCAACATTCACTCAGCATACACGCATCCCCATTCATTTAACATTCTTTGCTTTTCCACAATTTAACTCAAACTTTTTTCCTGACAACATTCCGCTAAATTGGCTTGTTGGGTTAAGGGGAACATAAATATAAGAGCATGAATGAGTAGTTATCTACAAAAAGAATGAGTTTGTGTGCCATTAAAATCACACAAGAAATCCACAAGATAAAGAGCTCTCTGTCAAAACCCATTAAACATTCTGACAGAAATATGGACAACTGAGTATAAAATAAATTACATGGGAAGACAGAAAGCACTATTTAGGGTTAGCTCTGTTACAGGGCCACCGTGCTGGGCTCCAGATTGCTTTTAAAGCGATATAGTATTCTGGGACATCCGCTGTAATTCACACCACTCTGAAGCGTGCACCTCATCAGAGCACACAGAAACACTTGGCTGCCAAAGACCTTACATGCACAGGGAGGTGGTGTCATAGATGTAGCTTTCCTTATGCTCCAGGATACTGGGCACTTTGGTTACAGTACAGGAAATAGACCTGACAAACAATATACCATCAATACAATGCACTGCACAGAGCCATCAATTGTGAGTGAGGAAGGAAGGATTTACTTGAAAACCCCTGAGCTTTTTCTGAAATGTTCACCAAAATATGTCGAGATTCATCTTTGCTTTATTTTGAAATAAGCAGAAATGATGCTTGCTGCTCCGCAAATCGAAATACCTTGGAGAAACACTGATTAAAGTAAAATAGTCCAGAAGTAGATTTTGGGCCAAGTTTATATAAAAAGCTCTTTTAAAAACAATGGAATAAAACTACAGTTACTGAACTAACTTCAACGTCTGCTTTGCGACTGAAATTGGAAGGATGGCCAACAATGGTGTTGACCATTTTTTCAGATGACAACAAGTTGCATTTATTATAGTCTTGGAGTGTTTAACAAAAATTATTCATTGCTATGTTCGTGAAGGGAAGGGAAATGAAGGGCCAGGAAGGGACGCAATGCTGGAAAATGGAGCACTATCCCTTTTGTTTTCCATTCAGTTCCAAATGACAAGCGGGCTTTGGTATGGTCCAGCATGGGGAGGACTGTTCTACAGCCAAATTCACACTACTCTCTGAGCTTCAACCTCAACCTCAATCTCACAGCAGAACTGACCACAGTACCAGTGCGAATGGTTCTTTTTATATGTGTAAACTGTACAATTACAGAGGCATCAACAGTGTGAGATGTAAACATATTGCATATGACAGTGGCTTTCTTTCCACTATGTTCCTGTTGACCCCACAAGCCAAAGCTCTAACAGGTAGGCTGGTCCTAGTTAGACAAGCAGGCAATGGTCTTAATGGCAAGCTATGCAGTTTTAGCAGGTAAACTCCAATGGTCCACTAACACACAGTCTGAAGCCTCCAAACATCGGCTCCAGCTAACCAGAATCTAATATTCTCCTGTATTAAGAAACCAAGGTGTGTCCCTGCAGGGAGAGAGTGCACATTTCCATTCCAGACAGAGGGAGATTTCCATGTATAGGTGGCAAAGATATGTGGAAGTCTCAGTCTGCTTTGAATACTCCTAAGCATTGGTTTCGACATGTGTCAAGCACCTGGCGACCATAAATAAATTATTAATAATAATCCTTGCATTTGATATAGCGCCTTTTCACTTCATTGAGATGTCTCAAAGCACTTCACAGAATATATTGTAGAGTGGATTGATGCTATAACATGTGGGCGAATGGTGGATATTTTGTGGGTGGAAATTAATATAAAATGTAGGTGCAAAAGGTAATTTTCCAAACTGAGGATATAAGCTCTATATAGAGATGATATGATATACTTGTGCAAAGATGCCCATGCACATACACATCCTAAATCATTTATAGGGGTAAATCTACATTAGCTATAATGTTGAAGTAAATTAATGTGATCAGCACATGGAGTATCACCCACTTACAGCACACCCATATTTCCTGAACCTCCTTCGCTCTTTCAATCTTTTGTAATAGTACATGCGATAATAAATTCTTTACAAGTATATGGGATCAAAGTATTATAGGAAAAGAGAAGGAAGTTCCTCCCAATGCCCTGGAGAACAATCCTTCAGTTAAATTGGTCACTCACTTCACTAATTTGTGGGACATTGCTGTAACCAAATTGGCTGGGAAGTTTGCCTGTATAAAAAATACAGTCACTAGACTTTACAGTAACCTCTCAACACGAAACGTGCTATTTCAAATACAGGATTATTATTATAACCTTATTGATGAAATTATATGACATTTCCTTGCTCTGTATATTTGGGTATAATAATCAATGACTTATCAATAATCAATAATAATCAATAATCAATGGGAACGCTTAACAATAAAACAGTGTGTCATCTCCTTTGGGTGACCTGAAGTACATTATACATAAGGTCCTGATCAATGAGAAAGTATATTTGAAGCAGTTTCACTTATCTCAGCTTTTCTCATGTCCCCCACTTTACCCACCCCATAATTCATGGCCAATTTTCAGCCTATCTGCCTCTACTCTTTGGAACTCCATCCCGGAGCCCCTCCAACACGCTCTCTCTCTTGGCTCTTTCAAGATCAGTCTTCCTCTTCGATCATGCCTTTGGTTGTCCTTCTGCTTCCCACCCCACTCAGCTCCCACACCCAGCTCGGGTGCCAACCCTGGACTGTTAAGCACATTAGGACATCCTTCCCAAGGATTCCTAAGATGCTTAACAGTCCCGACTTGCTATATATATATATATGTGTGTAAATTGCATTGTATTATATGAAGAAATCCCATTAGAAATTTGTTGCTTAATAGATCCCATAATATCTGCTTGAAATTTATGTCAAACAAAATTTTAATGTTTCTTTCTCCCCCTCTTTTTAGAATAATGAATGCTTCTCGGTTCTGGCAGCAGTGCTTCTTGTTGCTGAATAGTCGCTATATCCCACACTGTCTTCCGAGACTCATTAAAGCTTAAATAATACAGCAATCAGGCACCAGTAAGGAGCTTGAGAGTCTTGAGGTCCCTCAGGCCTCCTCATTGCTGACATTTGTGGGTTTGCTTTAGGATTTCATTACAAACCAGCTTTCCATCACTGTTACCAGGGACTAGCTTTATTTACAGGATTGTATTATCAACCTCATATTTTATGAACATAACAGCTGTAATACTATTTAACCTAATGGGTGAAGCCTTCCTTAAATTGTCAAAAGCAGGCCAAAACTCTGTGTAAAGTTATCACCCCAAAGTTTCTCTTGTATTATGTCACAAGGCTGCTGTGCTGACAGGTGTGGAAAGCTCTGCATTTTTTGTGGTTAGTTGGGTCTGAGACACATGTGTTAACCCAACACCATACTTAACAGCCCCCAAACCAAATGACTGAGTTGCACAACATGCATTGAAATTCCCTTATGTCTGGAATGGAATGTACACTCTCACCCCAGGTGGATGCTTATCTAATCCCAGGAAGTATTAGGAACAGGACGGTAAAAGCTAAGGATTGGAGACCCCAGAGTGTGCATTGGGTTAACTGTTGGAGGCTGACCAGCTAAAACTGCAGAACATGCCATTGCTCGGTGGCATCAATAGTGACGTCTGTAATACTGCACCAACATTTCTGCAAAATTCAGCCTTCAAAACCATTGGTTTTCCATTAGTTTTACAAAAGAGGCAGCTGAGAATAGTTTGACTTCTGACCTGGTTTCTGTACACTATGCCGTCCACGGGGTCAGTGTATTCAAAGTTGTCTGTCTTCTCCACCGTGAAGTTGTGATTTCCAACAGCAAACTGCTGACTGGCGAAGGATCGGTCCGTGATGACAGCCTCGAGATCCCTCATCAATTTGTGCGCGACCCGGGAATCCACTTCCTCATAATCAAACCTACATAAGAATATAAGAACATAAATGCTAGACAAGAAAAGACCAAGGTCATCTAGTTCACCTTCCAACCATCCTGGTGGTCACATGCACATATGTCCCAAATTACCTATATATCCCATAATGTTATTTCCTAAAAGAAAACTATTTAATCTGTGTTTGAAAGAATCAACACTTCCTGCTTCAACCGTCTCCCTTGGGATCCTGCTCCACAACTTCACTATTCGCTCACTGAAATAGTGTTTCCGTATAATCGTTCTGAGTTTACCCCGCTTCAATCACAGGCCATGTCCTCTGGTTTTACTATTCTGGACAAGTTGAAACAGCCTGTCATGGTTTATATTGTGTAGCCCCTTTAGAATTTTACCTACAGCAATCATGTCGCCTCTCAATCTTCTCTTTTCCAGCGTGAACATGCCCAATTTACTTAGTCTCTCTTCATAGTCCAGTCCCTCCTTCCCTCAATCATTTGGGTGCTCTCCTCTGTATCTTCTCGATTTCACCACTATCCCTTTTGTACTGCGGTGACCAGAACTGTACACAGTACTCACCAAAGTGTGGTCTCACTAATGATTTATACAGTGACAGGATTATCCCACTATTGATCTTTTAATACATCCCAACACCTGGTTTGCTTTATTCACTGCCACAGCTTCAATTTATTGTCAATCAGGACCCCCAGGTCTTTTTCATTTTCCATACATATTATTTTCCTTCCGTTCAAATAATAATCCCTTCCAGGATTTTTTGTGGCCATGTGAAGTACTTTACATTTCTCCACATTGAAATTCATCTGCCATTGATCTGCCCACTTTCCAAGTATGTTCAAATTCTCCTGTAATCTATCTTGTTCAGCTTCGCAGTCTACCATTTTCATTAGTTTGGCATGTAAACGGAAAGAGGAATGATAAGGAAGAGTGGGAAAAGTGTGAATGCTGCACAATGGCACTAAACAACAATAAAACAGGATTACAAGTTAAGAGCATTGGAATATCTAGGGCCTTTGTGCATTTGGAGCTCCAATGTGCTGTACCTTCAAGTGGTCATCTTGGAGTTCCTGCCTAAGTTTCGTCTCATGGTGAGTTATCTATCCCAAATGTGCCATAGAATAGGCAAAGTGAAGACAGGTGTAATCCTGGTTCAGTTGCTTAGCACTCCACCTATGAGTCATATGGTTGTGGGTTCAAGCTCCACATTGGGACTTTGAACTTAAGGTCTAGTAATGGGGGTGTGCTGCATTGACAAGGTGCTGTCCTTCAGATAAGACATTTACTCGAGGTCCTGTCTGCATGTTCAGGTGGATGTTAAAGATCCAATGGCAGTGTTTGAAAAGAAAAGGGAATGTCTCCTAGTATCTGGGCCAATAATCCCTCGGATAAAATTAGGCATTCACTTTATGGCTATTTGTGGAACATTGCTGTGCACAAATGGCTGTTGAGTTAACCTACAAATACATAGTCACTGCATTTTTCAGTAAGCATTCTAAGACGTTACCCTGCATGAGGAGGACTATATAAACACAAGCTGGTGTAAAATCCTGTGAAGCTTTTTGAGATATCTCTACAATGTAATACGTGCTATATCAAATGCAGAGATTATTATCAAAATGCAAAATACTGCAGAGGCTTGAAATCTGAAACAAAAAGAGAAGTTGCAGGGAACACTCAGCAAGTCAGGCAGTATCTATGGAGAAAGGAAAGTGAGTCAACGTTTCGGGTTCACGACCCTTCATCAGAACTGAGACATGTTGGGAGAGAGAGGCTTTTAAGGGTTAACAGGGAGGGGGGAGGCAGGGCAAGGAAGACAAAGGAGAAAATGGGGTACAGGACTGGGGCTGATGAGTTAAAGAGATGTTAATGATGCAAAACAAAGGGGCGGATTGCAAAAAAGTAGGGGAATAGAGGTGTTAATACTGCAAAACAAAGGGGGAACAAATTGCAACAAAATAGGAAGACCAAAGAGAGAAAAGGTGTATCTGGAACTAAGATGATGTGGCAATGGTCACAGAAGAGGGGGAGGGGGAAGGTGGGCTGATATGGTCTGAAATTGTTGAAATCAATATTGAGGCCAGAGGGCTGTTAGGGAACTTACAGAACATCAGGGGACTGGGGGTTGCAGCTGTAGATGGAAAAGTAGAGTTGAGTGTCATCCACATACATGTGGAAGTTAATCCCGCATCTGCAGATGACATCACTGAGGGGGAGCATATAGATGAGGAAGAGAAGGTGGGCCAAGGATGGAGCCCTGGGCTAAACCGCAGGTGACCAGGTGGAAACGAGAAGAAAAACCATAGGCACAAATGTAGTGCTAGTGGTTTGTAAGGTAGGACTCCGACCAGGCAAGTGCGGTCCCACTGAGGTGGATGATGGAGGACAGGCGGTGGAGGAGGATGGTGTGATCAACCATGTTGAACGCGGTGGAGAGGTCCAGGATGATGAGGAGGCAGAGGGAGCCCTGGTCACAGATAGAGAGGATATTGTTTTGAGGTCCTCTGAACTCCTTTCCCTCTGGCCTTCATCCCTCACTGATCCCTCTTCTGCTCTCACCCTCCTCCACAACACCCTCTCCTCCACACTCGACACTCTTGCCCCCATCACCTCCCGTACTGTCTCTTATTCTCGCTCCTCCCCCTGGTTCACCACCCACCTCCGCTCACTGAAGAGCCAGGTGCGGGCCGCTGAACGCACCTGCCTCAAATCTGGCCTAACGGTCCACCGGCAAATCTGGCTGGACCTCCCCAAAACCTACCGCTCCACTCTAGCCTCGGCCAAGTCGTCCTTCTACTCCAGGATAATCCTGGAGGCGAAGAACAACCCCAGGCTTCTGTTCTCTACCACATCCCAACTCCTCCGTCCCCCCGCCACCACACGCAGGTCATCTCCTCCAACCTTCACTGCGAGGAGATGCTGGATTTCCGTGAGTCGAAAATCAAGGGAATCCGCTCCGCGGTCACTGCCCCTCCAGCTTCCACCCACCCCCTAACCCTTCCCTCCCACACTCCGACTCCTACCCATCCTCCCCTTCGAACCCGTTTCCCCATCCTCTGTCACCAAACTCATCCTTGAAACCCACCACCTGCTCCCTGGACCCCATCCCCACTCCACTCCTTAACTCCCAGCTCCACCTCCTTGCCCCACTTCTCACAGACACCATTAACCTGTCCCTCTCCCCTGTCTCTGTTCCCATTCCCCTCAAACTGCACCATCACTCCCATACTGAAAAAACCCTCCCTTGATGCGTCGCAGCTATCAAGCTACCGGCCCATCTCCAACCTCCCCTTCCTGTCCAAGGTTCTCGAAACAGTCGTCGCCTCCCAGTTGCGCTCTATCCTCTCCACCCACTCACTTTTTGAACCCCTTCAGTCGGGGAAAACTGCACGGAAACTGCCCTGGTCAAGGTCACTAATGACATCGTGACCATCTGTGACCAGTGCTCCGTCTGCCTCCTCGTCCTCCTCGACCAATCGCCGCATTCGATACGGTCGACCACTCTATCCTCCTCGACCGCTTGTCCTCCCACCTCAACCTTCAAGGCCCTGTCCTTGAGTGGTTTAGGTCCTACCTCTCCCACCGTCTTCATTTTGTCTCTGCAAACCGCTTTTCCTCCAGCCTCCGCACTGTCTCGTGCGGTGTCCCTCAGGGCTCTGTCCTCGGTCCCCTCCTCTTCACCCTCTATATGCTCCCCCATCGGTGACATCATCCGCAGACATGGAGTTAACTTCCACATGTATGCGGATGACACCCAACTCTACCTTTCCTCTTCAACCCTCAACTCCACGACCACCGATGTCCTGACAGCTGCCTGTCCAACATCGAGTCCTGGACGAGAGACAACTTTCTTCAGCTCAACGTGCGCAAAACTGAGGCCCTCCTGATTGGCTCACGTCAGCGCCTCCGCACCTCAGGCGCTGACAGCATCAGCATCCAAGGCTGCACTATCCACCTTTCAGAGCCAGTCAGGAACCTCGGGGTTTTGTTCGACCCTGAGCTGTCCTTTCTTCCCCACATCCGCGCCACAACTGGCACCGCCTTCCATCACCTCCGGAACATCGTCAGACTACGGCACTACCTTACCCCTCACGCTGCTGAAACACTGGTCCACACCTTTATCACCTCAAGGCTGGACTACAGGAGCTCTCTCCTCACCGGCCTTCCCGGCACCTCCCTCCACAAGCTGCAGGTCATTCAAGACTCTGCAGCTCGTGTACTGTCCCGCACCAGGCTTCACGACCACATCACTCCCACCCTCGCTCGCCTCCACTGGCTCTCCATCCCCCAGAAGATACTATACAAGTGCCTTGCACCTTCCTACCTCTCCGACCTACTATAACCCTACTTACCTGCCCGTACCCTCTGTTCCTCTGGCTCCGGTTTGCTCCACATCCCCCGCCCTAACCACCCTACCATCGGTGGCCGGGCTTTCAGCCTCTCAGCCCCTAGGCTCTGGAACTCCATCCCCCAGTGCCTTCGCTTTGCTTCCTCCCTTTCCTCCTTCAAGGCCGGTCTCAAGACCTTTCTCTTCAACCGTGCCTTCAGCTCCCCTCTCGACTCTCTACCCCTCCTCGCTCCCTCCCTTCCCTCCCCTCACCCTGACCATTTCCCCCCTGCTCGGGTCCCGAGCCAACTGTCCAGCGCCTTGGGACGTCCTCCCGACGTGAAAGGCGCTCTATAAATGCAATCATGTTGTTGTTGTTGTTGTTTGTGACTTTCACAAGCGCTGTCTCTATATTGTGGGCAGGGTGGAAACCGGACTGAAGGGTTTGAATAGAGTTTGTAGGGAGAGGTGTGTGCGAAGTTGGTTGGCAACAACACATTCCAGAGCTTTGGCAAGGAAGGGCAGGTTTGAGATAGGGCAGTAGTGGCCAAGGTTGGCGGGATTGAGGGTAAGTTTTTTAAGAGTCAAAATTAGGGTTGCAGACCACAGGAACGCAGGTCAACATTAGATGGTAAATCATTGAACCTCATTGACAAACAACAACTTGGGACTTATATAGCGCCCTCCAC